GTGAGGCATGTGGCGACCACAGGGAGTCTTCTGTATCAGTCTAGCCGATACTTGTGGTCACTGGGGAGGAGGTGCAGATGGACGGCACAGTGCTGCTGGTTCCAGGAGAGGCGGTGGTGGGACCCGGTAGGGACCGAGACGGCATTAAATGGGACCCTTCAGTGGCTTGGGGGGGCCTCCCAGTGTGTAGTGTCCACCGGGGAAACACTTGGGGTAGATGATAAATGGGGGGAAGTCCTCCCCAGCTGCGTTGAAGCAGGCCAGCACTGTGATGTGCTCCTTAGTCCCCGGAGCCTGCTGGTACACGTGTTTTGCGCCCCGAGGAGCCAGCACTTTGTGCCTGCTCTGGTCGCTACGAAACCCAGACTCATCGCAGTTATAGATGTGTCTGGGTTTCTCCCTCAACCCACTCTCCTCCAAGTGCTTCTCATAAGAAGTGAATAAGGTGTCCATCACCGGACGTGTGGCACACTCAGCTCTCCCCCTGTCCAGGGTGTCCGGCCTCCTCAAGCTCAGGTTCTTGTGCCGCCTCCTGAACATTTCCCACCACCTCTTCCCCAGTGGAACACTTAAACAACACATCCTAGATCTGAATAGATGAAATCTTATTAAATACTTTTTTCTTTACATAGTTGAATGTGCTGACAACAAAATCACACAAAAATGATCAATGGAAATCAAATTTATCAACCCATGGAGGTCTGGATTTGGAGTCACCCTCAAAGTTAAAGTGGAAAACCACACTACAGGCTGATCCAACTTTGATGTAATGTCCTTAAAACAAGTCAAAATGAGGCTCAGAAGTGTGTGTGGCCTCCACGTGCCTGTATGACCTCCCTACAACGCCTGGGCATGCTCCTGATGAGGTGGCGGATGGTCTCCTGAGGGATCTCCTCCCAGACCTGGACTAAAGCATCCGCCAACTCCTGGACAGTCTGTGGTGCAACGTGGCGTTGGTGGATGGAGCGAGACATGATGTCCCAGATGTGCTCAATTGGATTCAGGTCTGGGGAACGGGCGGGCCAGTCCATAGCATCAATGCCTTCCTCTTGCAGGAACTGCTGACACACTCCAGCCACATGAGGTCTAGCATTGTCTTGCATTAGGAGGAACCCAGGGCCAACCGCACCAGCATATGGTCTCACAAGGGGTCTGAGGATCTCATCTCGGTACCTAATGGCAGTCAGGCTACCTCTGGCGAGCACAAGGAGGGCTGTGCGGCCCCCCAAAGAAATGCCACCCCACACCATGACTGACCCACCGCCAAACCGGTCATGCTGGAGGATGTTGCAGGTAGCAGAACGTTCTCCACGGCGTCTCCAGACTCTGTCACGTCTGTCACGTGCTCAGTGTGAACCTGCTTTCATCTGTGAAGAGCACAGGGCGCCAGTGGCAAATTCCTGGCAAATGCCAAACGTCCTGCACAGTGTTGGGCTGTAAGCACAACCCCCACCTGTGGACGTCGGGCCCTCATACCACCCTCATGGAGTCTGTTTCTGACCGTTTGAGCAGACACATGCACATTTGTGGCCTGCTGGAGGTCATTTTGCAGGGCTCTGGCAGTGCTCCTCCTGCTCCTCCTTGCACAAAGGCGGAGGTAGCAGTCCTGCTGCTGGGTTGTTGCCCTCCTACGGCCTCCTCCACGTCTCCTGATGTCCTGGCCTGTCTCCTGGTAGCGCCTCCATGCTCTGGACACTACGCTGACAAACACAGCAAACCTTCTTGCCACAGCTCGCATTGATGTGCCATCCTGGATGAGCTGCACTACCTGAGCCACTTGTGTGGGTTGTAGACTCCGTCTCATGCTACCACTAGAGTGAAAGCACCGCCAGCATTCAAAAGTGACCAAAACATCAGCCAGGAAGCATAGAAACTGAGAAGTGGTCTGTGGTCACCACCTGCAGAACCACTTCTTTATTGGGGGTGTCTTGCTAATTGCCTATAATTTCCACCTGTTGTCTATTTCATTTGCACAACAGCATGTGAAATTTATTGTCAATCAGTGTTGCTTCCTAAGTGGACAGTTTGATTTCACAGAAGTGTGATTGACTTGGAGTTACATTGTGTTGTTTAAGTGTTCTCTTTAATTTTTTTGAGCAGTGTATAATTGTCCATCCAGGATGAAAATGTTTGTTTTGGCATCACCATACACATCCACATTTACATCACACACATTAAGAACAGTCAGTCCACCAATCTGCATACATAAACACATAAAACACCAAATACCTGCGTATTTTGTTGGCGTATTTCATCAGCCTCTGTCTGGTGAAGGGGAACCCATGGCTGGCGCAGTAGATACAGTACTGCACCAGAGAATGTTCATCCTCTGGTGCAAGCAATGTGGGTGGTCCACTGTAACAACCATGGGTCACCCGGCCGCTCAGCCTGTACGCCAGGGTCTGCCGAGGTACACCATGCACCTCGGTAAATAAGAAAATAAAACTGTTACTAGCAAATACAATTCACACATACATGGTAATCTCCTAAAAACAAAAGATGCCTAACCTTGGCAGCCTGGCGGATAGCCATCCCTGCCACGCAGTCCTCCATGGCATGGAACATGTCCACCTCACTCCACTGCTTCCTCTTGACTTTCTCCATGCTGTGGTGTTAATACAGGTAGCTAAATAACTTGGCATACTATACACATTTTAGAAAGATAACTCAATCTGAATATTTATAAACATTTACATTTCAGAGCTAAGGCATTGAAAGGTGAACATTTTCACAATAACTGAAAGTGTACCAATGTTTTTTTGTTATCTGTAATGGAAATTAGTGTCCCAATTAGTTTAATATTGATGCATACATTGTAACATTTGACTAAATACTGCCTCTATGTAGCTGTTTTAAGATGAAACATAGCCAACAGTGATAGGTGTCAAAAAGTTTATGGTTAAAAGTTCCAAATACATTTTAGCAGATTGTGCAAAACGTCCCCGTCAGAGGACTCCAATTTTGATACGGTAAAGCTTGACAACATTCAGCTGTTTTCGTGATATGTATTATCTAACGCTTACAATTTCTTTCCTTTTTGCTTACTTAGCAGTTCTATCAACATTTAGCAACTAAGCTAGCAACATTAGAAAATCCGTTAGCTATATTTCAGAGGTAAAAAGTTGGATATTAAATGATGTGTGGTCTGTCGCGCAGTCGAATTTTACAATATGCAGCGTGTTCCACAAAATGTATACATATATCACTTTTTTGAAAACTCTCAACTTAACTTACTTAAATTGCACTGAAAATTGGTGGTCAGCTAGCTAGAAGGGTGCCGTTAGTCGCAAAACGTACCGTTATTTTCCAGTCCATTTAAATGTTGAGCTCGAGGTGATTTAGTCCTCCCAACCGCTAGAGAGTGTCCGAAGTTAGGGGGTGTCCGATGTTGGGGGAAAATTAGCTAAGTATTCAGACCCTTTACTCAGTATTTTGTTGAAGCACCTTTGGCAGAAATTACAGCCTCAAGTCTTCTTGGGTATGACACTACAAGCTTGGCACACCTGTATTTGGGGGGTTTCTCCCATTTCTTCTCTGCAGATCCTCTCAAGCTCTGTCAGGTTGGATGGGGAGCGTCGTTGCACAGCTATTTTCAGGTCTCTCCAGAGATATTCGATTGGGTTCATGTCCGGGCCCTGGCTGGGCCACTCAAGGACATTCAGAGACTTGTCCCAAAGCCACTCCTGTGTTGTCTTGGCTGTGTGCTTTGGGTCGTTGTCCTGTTGGAAGGTGAACCTTCGCCGAAGTCTGAGGTCCTGAGCACTCTGGAGCATGTTCTCATCAAGGATCTCTCTGTACTTTGCTCGGTTCATCTATCCCTCGATCCAGGTTCCCTCCAGATGTGACGCTTGGCATTCAGGCCAAAGAGTTGAATTTAGGTTTCATCAGACCAGAGAATCTTGTTTCTCATGGTCTGATAGTCTTTAGGTGCCTTTTGGCAAACTCCAAGTGGGCTGTCGTGCCTTTTACTGAGGAGTGGCATCCGTCTGGCCACTCTACCATAAAGGCCTGGTTGGTGGAGTGCTGCTGAGATGGTTGTCCTTCTGGAAGGTTCTCCCATCTCCAAAGAGGAACTCTGGAGCGCTGTCAGAGTGACCATCGGGTTCTTGGTCACCTCCCTGACCAAGGCCCCTCTCCCTCGATTGCTCAGTTTGGCTGGGCGGCCAGCTCTAGGAAGAGTCTTGGTGGTTCCAAACTTCTTCCATTTAAGAATGATGGAGGCCACGGTGTTCTTGAGGACCGTCAATGCTACAGACATTTTTGGTACACTTCCCCAGGTCTGTGTCTCGACATAATCCTGTCTCAGAGCTCTACGGACAATTCCTTCGATCTCATGGCTTTGGTTTTGCTCTGACATGCACTGTCAACTGTGGAACCTTATATAGACAGGCGTTTGCCTTTCCAAATCATATCCAATTAATTGAATTTACCACGGGTGGACTCCAATCAAGTTGTAGAAACATCTCAAGGATGATCAATGGAAACAGGATGCACTTGACCTCAATTTTGTGTCTCATAGCAAAGGGTCTGAATACTTATGTAAATAAGGTATTTCTGTTTTTTATATATAATACTTTTGCAAACATTTCTAAACGTGTTTTCGCTTTGTCATTATGGGGTATTGTGTATAGATTGCTGAGGATTATTCTTTAAAAAAAATCCATTTTAGAATAAGGCTGTAACGTAACAAAATGTGGAAAAAGTCAAGGGGTCTGAATACTTTCTGAAGACAATGTACATCCAAATGTCTTTGAAAGTCATTGAAATACCTTAAATTGTATTTGAACCCGTGTGTGTGAGAGAGAGACGTGGTTTTGACGCGTGTGTGTGTGTCCGTCAATTACACACAAAGCTACTCAGATTATCCAAAGTGACTTACAATTAAATGATTTATGTTTAAACAATTACCTTTGTTCGTCTTTCAGGATGTTTTTGTGCCTGGTCCCAATGAGAAGGCATTGTACACGGCAGAGCCTCTTTCTCTGGAGGACCTGACCCTGCTAGCTGAGCTCTTCTACCTGCCCTATGAGTACGGACCCAAGGCCCTGCACATGCTCAAGGAGTTCAATTGGCTACGGGCCAACTGCAGCACCGTCAGCGTCAACTGCAAGGGCAAGGAGCCAGAGAAGGTAGGTGGGAAGGGGATACCTAGTCAGTTCCACAACTAAATGCATTCAACCTAAATGTGTCTTCCGCATTTAACCCAACCCCTCTGAATCAGAGAGGTGTGGGGGGCTGACTTTATCGACGTCATCGGTGTCCGGGGAGCAGTTCATGTTGGAGGGTTAACCCATATGTCTAAGCCTGGAGAGGGAGGGGTTCTACTATGCTATATGGAATTGTTTTAAGAATGTCATACCAAGGATCATTTTGCTATTTGATTTAGAATTTTAAGACGCCTTGGAAGTATCAAAATGTATATAAAAATAATTAGATACATTATTTTTGGCCTTACTGCCATTAGCCCGTACGAACACATTGAATAACAGATTCACTACATGGAACAACAAGTAGTCCCCCCCAAAAAAAAATCTAAAGGAAGTTTCTTCTGAACTGTCTGTCCTTTATCTGAGAGATATATAAGAAGATCAGTAAATATTTTTTTAATTTTTTGAGCACTAAACAGTATCTATTTATTTATTAATCTAATCTTTCTATATTTTTTTCAACTGTTCCCTCTGTGCGGCAGTCCCGGGGGAGCTGCGCAGAAGAAATGTCATCCTGCGCAGAGAAGCACGAGATTGAACTTTTCCCTGTTATTTAACACGATCAATGTTTCCCTTTACTGTGGGAATTGTGATCGAATCAACTCAAGATTAGCCACTTTCAATGCAACATACCGAAACAAAACGAAACTATGCAAGAGGTTTTGTTGTAGGCAGAATGCATCGGAGTAGGATTCTATTGCATTGACAGGCACGACTCAGGCCCTACTCTACACAGACTGGTGCGCCATAACCCATCAGAGCTGCAGTAGGCCTATACAGTGCATTCGGAAAGTATTCAGACCCTTTGACTTTTTCTACATTTTGTTAAGTTACAGCCTTATTCTAAAATGGATTACATTGTTTTGTTTTTTTAAATCAATCTACACACAATACCCCATAATGACAAGGCGAAACACGTTTTTAGACATTTTTGTAAATTGACAAAAAACTGAAATATCACATAGTATTCGGACCATTTACTCAGTACTTTGTTGAAGCACCTTTGGCAGCGATTACAGCCTCAAGTCTTCTTGGGTATGACACTACAAGCTTGGCACACCTGTATTTTGGGAGTTTCTTCCCATTCTTCTCTGCAGATCCTCTCAAGCTCTGTCAGGTTGGATGGGGAGCGTCGCTGCACAGCTATTTTCAGGTCTCTCCAGAGATGTTCGATTGGGTTCAAGTCCGGGCTCTGGCTGGACCACTCAAGGACATTCAGAGACTTGTCCCGAAGCCACTCCTGTGTTGTCTTTGCTGTGTGCTTAGGGTTGTTGTCCTGTTGGAAGGTGAACCTTCGCCCCAGTCGGAGGTCCTGAGCGCTCTGGAGCAGGTTTTCATAAAGGATCTCTCTGTACTTTGCTCGGTTCATCTTTCCCTTGATCCTGACTAGTCTTCCAGTCCCTGCCGCTGAAAAACATCCCCACAGCGTGATGCTGCCACCATGCTTCACCGTAGGGATGGTGCCAGGTTTCCTCCAGATGTGACGCTTGGCATCCAGGCCGAAGAGTTCAACTTGGTTTCATCAGACCAGAGAATCTTGTTTCTCATGGTCTGAGAGTCTTAAGGTGCCTTTTGGCAAACTCCCAAGAGGGCTGTCATGTGCCCTCTACTGAGGAGTGCCCTAATGAACACCACCCTGTTTCCTGTTCCCCAGGTAGCGGAGTGGCAGTCCCGGGCGGTGAAGTTTGAGGAGATGTGTTGTTCGGTCATCCAGATGTTCACCAGGCTGTCTAACTCAGCCAACCGCACCATCCTTTACGACCTCTACCCCTACATCTGGGACATCAAGAGCATCATGTCCATGGTCAAGTCCTTTGTCCAGTGGCTAGGTATGCATGGACACACTCCCACTCTCACACACACACCGAATAGGTACAGCTTGCTCAGAGCAGCAGAACAGTAAGTGTAGGACATGAAACACATATAGGTTTGGGGAAAAATACGTCAAGTCTTTAAGCTTTATGGTGAAGTCTCATGGTTAGTTTGGATAAGCTCAATACATACACAAAGGTGAATATCATTTTGGTAAGCTTCTGTATGAGCATTAAAGATGTGTTTATGGCCATATTGCAGTTTCTCCATGATAAAGATTGATAGTGCAGCAGAATGATCTTTCATCTGCCATCCAGTCTTTGGTAGTTTAGTCATGCACATATTAATTAATCATCTGCACATGTGCTGTATCTATAGTGCCCACTGCCCAGTCTGCTTAACAGATGGATTAAGTGTATTTGTAGACTTAGCAATGCAACATTTCACCTCTGTTGGCTTTCACCTGTGTTCAAGGTGAGTCTAGAGCAGACCGTCTCACTCATATTGTCAGCTCTTCCAGCTAGTTTTAGGATAACTTTGGCTTAGCTTATATATCCATCAGTGACAGATACAGACATATTTTCAATTGTTGTTTTGATTTGTTTTATTACACTTTTCGATTTGTTGATTTTACTTTGACTGACTGAATGCCGCTTGCACTGCTAGCCCCCCTACATTAGCCATACATGAATTGGTCCTACACAACTAAGTGAATTGTCAGTATCAGTGGTGACAGGTCCAGAGATGGGGTACTGCTGCTTGCTATGTGTGGTGGCTGCTGCGTTCTCACACACACACACACACACACACACACACACCTGCTGCCAGCCCTCTGTCTGGGGGGTGGGACGCATGGGTAACTCCCCCACTCCCACCCCGTAGCATGCCTGCGAGCTTGGAGAGCAAGGTGACTGACCTGAAAAGGCCATTCTGGTGCATAAACAAAGATGGTGATCGAATATCTGAGCCGAGTTATTATTGATACAATCGATCCATATTGAAACTATTAATTTCATAAAATGTCCTCACTGAGTAATGCAGTAACTGCGGACGTCTGCAAAGTCAGTGCAGAGCCTATTCTCAGCACATGCTCTGTGTACCAGTGTTATTGCTGGATCATAGTGCTTAGCCTCTACTGAAGAATTCCTTCTGGCTGTATCATAGCCAAGACTCCTTGAACTTAGTCACTCCATCTTACACACCACTCACTGATACATGCACGCGCGCACACACACACACACACACACACACACACTTCACCTGCATGTAACATGTCTTGATAATGAGTCAACCAGACAGGGATCCTGAATGTAGTACCCTGATACAGTTTTTAACAACATTTTGATCAATTCTGAAGCACAAGCATGGCCTGTAGGTTACACAATAACCATGTTTCATTCACAGGTTTCTGTCCAGAGCTGGGAACTCTAACCTATACAGTACACAGCAGGCAGCAAACCCACACTGGCAGAACCACAGCTAATTCAAAGCTATAACGGCATTATGAAGCCTTATAAACCAGTATAACATTTTAAAGCATCACCAGCTGTGGGCTAGCTAGACAGAACATAAAGCAATCTAAAGGCTTTCCCACATCTGGTGAACCAGTTGGTGTGTAGACAACTTTTCACGCTTCTCTTTTATAACTAAACTGCGCTCGAGGCACAATCAAAGAGCACTATTCTAAGTATCCGTCCCCTTATTGGTCTGTAGCTGTGCAGCCGGCAGTCAGTCTTACCTCCTCCCTGGTGTTGTTACTGAGACACATTTACTAATGACCATCTTCTACTGTTCTCTCCCTTCACCGTGTGCAGATGGACAAATCCTCAGTACCAGTTTCTACTGCTATTGGATCACCACTGGCCAATGTCTGCACAGGCCACCTTTTTTGATCGGTTATTGTTTTTATTTGGTTTTTATTTGATTTTTATATCAGATCAGGATATTTGATATGGGTGATGGAAGTCAGTCACATTTTGCACAGCCAAACGTTAGTAGCGAGAGAGAAACGTTAATGTGTTTTAAATCTTATTTTCTCTGACAGCGTTCGTTTCTCTCTAACATGTTTGTTTTTACAAGTAGGCCTTTTCATGGAAGTGGCTTAAACCAGCACTGGATGCACCTACACACTGGGGTTCACATCTGGCGTTCAGAATGTTAGTCTCTCTACCATCCTCCCATAGTCTGGGTTTACTACTACAGTTTACACCACATTTTCAAAATGTTGCTTTGAAAGTGACTGGTCGTTTTGTTCATGAAAGCGACTAGCAACTTACATTGCAACGTGACACGCTGAGACAAACAGAACTGTGAAATAACTGTCGTTTTATTAACATAGATATGTGTCTCCAATAATTATTTGATGTCAACCACTGGCGAATGGTGGCGCTTTACTCCCAAGCACCTGAAAGCTAGCTGTGAGTTCCTCCCTGTGGATGCATCTATATGCTGAGTGGAGCCAGCCTCATCAGAGGAGGTGTTCTAGGTGTCAGGGTGAGGTTGTTATGATATGTTATAGCAGGAGCGTGGACTCGTGTCCTCTTCTCGCGCTGTGTCTGTCTCTTCACATGACAGGAGACATCACCACCAGGTTTGGTATCGTCTATCAATCTGATCTTACTCTATATAGCACTTTTTTTGTCACAAAGTGCTTCACAGGCACAGCAACCAATGATGGCAACCGCAATGGCAACTATTCATATGTTTGAAAGGTGTGACTGACAATCGTAGTTTCAAAGTTGCTCTCGTAAGAACGGAGCGGCGTGCCAACACCACAGTACTCCCCAATCAAGCGACCGTTTGAGGTGCACTAAACTTTGCACCCCTTTTAGTTTTGTCTTTGCACAGCGCTCTCCTCTCTAAGTTGAGGTTTTTTTAAAGCCTCTCTTTCTTCCTGGTTTGAGTCCTGCTCCCTGGTCATGTGATAAGGCAGGTTAGATGAGAATGTTACTTCAGATGAGGTGCTGGGGTCAGTGGGGCAACTGCAGCTGAAGCTTACACGGTAGGCCGAGTTCCCCCTAGACACTGAACTAAGGTCAGATTAGGCAATTTAGAGCATGAATGACTTGGAAGCTTTCACTGCAGGTGAACCAGAATCCGACTGTCGATTGTCGAATTGATTCAGGCTTTATAACCTCAATGATTCCTCCCAGTTGAGAAACACCAAAGTAAGCTTCAGTTGCTCGAGCCCCAAGTCCAACTAAACCCATTTCATACAAATAAAATTGTAGTTTTTATAATTTAAAAAGCATTTTCTTTTCTTTGGAGTGATTGGAAAATAATGATAACCTAAGACCCTCCACAAACCATCCCCCCCACCCCGCGACCTGTCAGCGAGTTTGTCTTATCTCTGGTCCCCATGGTAATGCTGTGTCCCTCCGGCTCTGTGTGCTCCTAACAGGGTGCCGTAGTCAGGCCACTGCACAGTTCCTTAGTGGAGACCAAGAGCCTTGGGCCTTTAGGGGCGGTCTAGCAGGAGAGTTCCAGGTATATACCTACGCACTGACTTCACAGATCATAAAACTGTTTGTAATGCTAGTAAAGAAAATTGTATTTAGTCTTGTGTTGAAGAGAAAGTGGTTGTTGCGCACAGCAGATGTGAAAGGGTTTGGTCTGTCTAAGGTGGGCTGATCATGACTAGGAAGGGGTATACCTCCGAAACGTACGATAATTTATATAATAAGTCCATGTCTTGGGACAGAGTGCCTGTGAGTTTCTAAAGGCATTGATCCAACCAGCATCTGGTATGGTCCGATCAGTCTGAAAAGGGAAAGGGTGAACTGACACCATAAAAAGCTGAAGGAGTCACACCAAGGCAGTGTTTTTCTAATCCTACATTTTCTGAAAATGTGAATTTCCCTCAGCCGACTGCCCAAAGGAGATGCTGCTTTTCCATGGGGCACGCATTCTACTAATTCTCCGCGTGGCATTGCTAGGGTTAGATTTCCATGACATGTCATTTATTTGCAGGAAAAGCTCAGTGCAAAATTCTCCCATTTGCACACGCAAGCATCGCATCGCAGCACCAGCGAGAACGAAAGTGACACCGCCCGCTCAAAAAACTCCATGAGCAAACACGGTATTCCTAGACTAAGATCAGATAACCCAAGTTGGAAACAGTTTTTTTCTTCTTCAACTTTGTAGCAGTTGATCTTTTAAAAGACTTGGTTGGTCTTCAATCAAAAATCGAATCAAATTTTTTTCGTCACATGCTTCGTAAACAGCAGTTGTGGACAAACAGTGAAATGCTTACTTAAGGGCCCATCCCAACAATGCAGAGAGAAAGAAAATAGAGAGATAAGTAATAATAGATACAAAATCAGTAACGATAACTTTGCTATATACAATGGGTACCAGTACCGATGAATGTGAAGGGGTCTGAGGTAATTTAGTTAGATACAGTGCATTTGGAAAGTATTCAGATCCCTTCCACTTTTCCACATTTTGTTACATTACAGCCTTATTCTAAAATGGATTAAATTCATTTTTTTCTTCATCAATCTACACACAATACCCCATAATGACAAAGCAAAAACAGGTTTTTAGAAATGTTTGCACATTTATTACAAATAAACAGATACCTTATTTACATAAGTATTCAGACCGTTTGCTATGAGACTCGGAATTGAGCTCAGGTGCATCCTATTTCCATTGATCATCCTTGATGTTTCTACAACTTGATTGTAGTCCACCTGTGGTAAATTCAATTGATTGGAAAGGCACACACCTGTCTATATAAGGTCCAACTGAGTAAAAACCCAGCCATGAGGTCGAAGGAATTGTCCTTAGAGCTCTGAGACAGGATTATGTCGAGGCTCAGATCTGGGGAAGGGTACCAAAACATTTCTGCAGCATTGAAGGTCCCCAAGAACACAGTGGTCTCCATCATTCTTAAATTGAAGAAGTTTGGAACCACCAAGACCCTTCCTAGAGCTGGCTGCCCGGACAGACTGAGCAATCGAGGGAGAAGGGCCTTGGTCAGGGAGGTGACCAAGAACCCGATGGTAACTCTGACAGAGCTCCAGAGTTCCGCTGTGGAGATGGGAGAAACTTCCAGAAGGACAACCATCTCTGCAGCACTCCACCAATCAGACCTTTATATTAGAGTGGCCAGACGGAAGCCACTCCTCAGTAAAAGGCACATGACAGCCCACTTGGAGTTTGCCAAAAGGCACCTAAAGGACTCTCAGACCATGAGAAACAAGATTCTCTGGTCTGATGAAACCAAGATTGAACTCTTTTGGCCTGAATGCCAAGCGTCACGTCTGGAGGACACCTGGCACCATCCCTACGGTGAAGCATGGTGGTGGCAGCATCATGCTGTGGGGATGTTTTTCAGCGGCAGGGACTGGGAGACTAGTCAGGATTGAGGGAAAGATGAACGGAGCAAAGTACAGAGATCTTTTGATTAAAACCTGCTCCAGAGCGCACAGGACCTCAGACTGGGTTGAAGGTTCACCTTCCAACAGGACAACGACCCTAAGCACACAGCCAAGACAACGCAGGAGTGGCTTCGGAACAAGTCTCTGAATGTCCTTGAGTGGCCCAGCCAGAGCCCGGACTTGAACCCGATCGAACATCTCTGGAGAGACTTGAAAATAGCTGTGCAGCGACGCTCCCAATCCAACCTGACAGAGCTTGAGAGGATCTACAGAGAAGAATGGGAGAAACTCCCCAAATACAGGTCTGCCAAGCTTGTAGCATCATACCCAAGAAGACAAGGCTGTAATTGCTGCCAAAGGTGCTTCAACAAAGTACTGAGTAAAGGGTCTGAATACTGTAAATGTGATATTTCAGTTTTTGTATTTTTATAAATTAGCAAAAAATTGTTAACCTGTTTTTGCTTTGTCGTTATGGGGTATTGTGTAGATTTGAGGGAATAAAAAAAAAATCGATTTTAGAATAAGGCTGTAACGTAACAATGTGAAAACATCAAGGGGTCTGAATACTTTCCAAATGCACTGTATGTACATATAACTAGGAATAAAGTGACAGATAGTAAACGGTAGCAGCAGCATATGTGATAAGTCAAAGTTTGTGCAAGAAAGGTCAATGCAGATGGTCCGGGTAGCTATTTGGTTAACTATATATCTAACTATTTAGCAGTCTTATGGCTTGGGGGTAGAGTATGTTCAGGGTTCTGTTGGTTCCAGACTTGGTCTTTAGCTGTATCTAATGTTTAATATACTGTCACTAGTGAAAATCTACACCCCTTGCACAGTTTTCACATTTTGCTGCCTTTAAAATTAAATAAAAAAAGGAATTCAATTAGATTTTTCTTTTAACCAACTACCTACTCCACATTTTCAAAGTGAAAGAAAAATTATAGAAAATGGACAGCAATATTCAAACCTTGTCTTTTGATTTTCAAGCTAATGCAAGTCATGACTGAGACTGGACCACTCAGGAACACCCAACAGTTCTTGGAAAGCCATTCTGGTGTGTCTTTGACATCCAAAATATGTGTCATTGAAAAATACCTCTATCCCAGGGTTAGGTTTTCAGAAGACTGAGGTGGGTTTTCCTCCAACTTTTTAGCCGGGCTTAGGTCCTTTTCATATTTTTTTTGGATCCTGACAAACTCCCCAGTCCCAGCCGATAACGAGCATACCCATAACATGATGCTGCCACCACAATAGTTGAAAATACAGAGGGTTTCACTCTGTGTTGTATTGCATTTGACCTAAGCCTGTAGTTTTTCATTTAGGCCAAAGAGTTTTGATGTGTTGTCTTGCAGTGTTAAACTTAAATCTGTTTGAATATTGCTGTCCATCCATGATCCCCAACCAAATTTACTGAGCTGGATCAATTTTGACAAAAACAACGGACTTGTACAAAGCTGGTAGAATCTTATTCAAAATGATTCACAGCTGTAATGGCTGCCTAAGGTGCTTCCACCATGTATTTACTCTGGGGGGTGAAGACATACGCAATCAAGACGTCTACGTTTTTTTGTTTATTTTATTAATTTCACTTTGAAAAGGTGTAGTAGGTTGTGTACATTAGTAGGAAAACAATCTAATGGAATACGTGTTTTTTAAATTTAATTTCAAGGCAGCAAAATGTGAAGATTGTGCAAGGGGTGCATAGACTTTCACTAGGCATCGTATGTTAGAATAACGTTTTACTTGTGGAGTTTTGCTCCTGGAGTTTTCTCATTGTCAGCGCCAGCATCATGACTTCTCTCTACAGGAGGTCCATGGGCCCTGGGCCCTGCGCAACAGCTCTAAGCGATGCCTTAGACCAGACACAGGGAATGGAGCAGCAACATCTCCTTTAGCCAACAGCACCTTTCTGAGACCAAGCCTTTGCTCCTCCAATATACACCTATATTCCTGTCTTTAAAAAGAACATTCTGTATGCGCTATGCTCTCATAAGAACAGATGTGATGATTTGCTGCTGCTGTTCACTGTCAAGCCAAAAGTGCCACAGAAGCCATTTTTTAGTAACGTTACTTCCAAATCTTGGACCATTGGCTGGTTTAGCCTTCCTTTGACATCCAGCTGTTGTTGGTGCCACAGTGTCCCAGCAGTAGCAAATAAGTCTGAAACGGTGAATGCAGAGACCCAGTGCCTGGTGTCAGTTTGACTGAAACTGTTTCTTTTGATCCCCGGACAGAGATTCTTGCCGATCGATGGGGCAAACGATCTTTTCTTCCAGCCTCCCCCCGCACTGCCAACATCCAAAATCTATTCCATCAGGCCCTGCTATCCTAAAGATGAGGTGAGGAGAGTCTTATGGATAAGATTTCCTCTATATCAGTGGGTGTATGGGTGGGTGTAATTTCCCCCCTGGATCAATGATTCCTGTATTCAGTCAGTGATTAGCTGAACATACTGGGTGAAACGGCACGCTGTTGGTATTCCCATCTGAGCTATCCTAGTTTTAAACATGGCTTCTAGGCTCATCTGCAGGCCTGCTCATCCGTCCTGGACTGTCAGCAGTCTCCTCTATTCCTGTGAGTGCCACGTGCTTAGTCCTCTCTAACTGCTTGTGTGTGTGTGTGTGTGTGTGTGTGTGTGTGTGTGTGTGTGTGTGTTCCAGCATGCAGTGTATAAGATCTGCAGAGAGATGTACTCTGAAGGAGTTGAGGAACTGCCCTTCTGTGGAGAGGAGCCAGACCTCATAGGAGACAGGTAAGGACTTTTTTTTATTTTAGTTGTCGCCCAACATTATTTTGAAAACAATTAAAATGGAGACAATTCAACCTAATGAATGTTCAATTGAGACTGAAATGTTGGTAAAAAGATTCATTAAATCTGTGCAGCAAAATTATCAGTGTGCTGGAGTTTCTTTTCAATGTAGTATACCTAACTAACAGTATGTTTCTCCAGGTTAGTAGGAGGGTTCCTGAACCTGAGTCCAGACTATGGGTTTGTCCTGGAGGATGAGGAGGGGATCTGTGGTTACGCTCTAGGCACCGTGGACGTCAAGCCCTTCGTCAAGAAGTGTAAGATGAGCTGGATCCCCTCCATGCAGGAGAAATACAACAAGCCTGACTGCCAGAAGGACCTTTCTGAGGCTGAGGTAGGAGACTGGGTTGACTGAGTTTCTTTAACTTTCTTTATTCTAGCACTGTGACACTTATTTTTGAAAATAAGTTGTGCAATGAATGGGATATCTGCTGCCTACTTTGGTCAAATGCACAAATACCCCTTTCACACTACTGAACTGAGCCAAGCCAATCCGAGCTGTACTGGGCTGGCCTGTGACAGGACAGTAACTGAGCCAGTACGTTCAGGTGGGCATTGTTCGTTTGAAAAGGGTATTATTGTACGTTGCTATAAGAGCGTCTGCTCAATGACTAAAATGTCAAACAATTTCTCTTCCCTTCCTGTAGAAGATGATGTTGAGTTTCCATGAGGAGGAGGAGGGCCTCCCAGAGTCGTTCCTCTCCAACTTCCCGTCCCTCATTAAGATGGACATCCATGCCAAGGTCATCGATCCCAGCGTGGCCAAGAGCATGATGGGATGCCTGCTCTCCTCCCTCAAGGCCAATGGTAGGTGGTGTCTACAGAACCTGTCTCAATCAATCAAGCACATTTGCTAATCTATGAATGGTCCCTAGCAACCATCTATGAATCGACTTCAGTTGTCCGCATCCCAATTATAATGCATAAGGATGGTTGTCATGAGCATGTAGGACCCACTTATTATAATGTTGTATTATCATCTCATAATGGTCCTAACTATAAGTACCAGCCATTTTGAGTCATACATAGAGACGTAACATTATTAGCCTTATAATAGTACATTAAGCATATCTGCAGGTTTTAAGTAGTGTTACGTAACTGTTACTTACTTATGTTGTTAAGCTGTTGTTTACCCCCCCCCCCCCCCCCCCCAGGTTCCATCGGTGCGTTCTGTGAGGTGCGTCAGGCAGACAAGAGGATGATAGACTTCTACAGTAAGCTGGGCTGCTTCGAGGTCGCCAAGATGGAGGGCTTCCCCAAAGACATCATCATAATGGGCCGCATCCTCTGAGGACAACGACGTCATCACGGGACGCAGCTTCTGAGACCCAAGCAACCACGTAGCTGTGTAGAGAGCTTCAGTCATCTGGGCTAAGGATAACTGTCTGTTACCTTTACAAAACTACCAATACTTGACGATTTTATACTTCAACCACCTGGACTAGACAAGGCTAGAGGCATCCCATTTTTTAGATAGTGTTCAGAAACACAGCAGCTTGTACAGATCCACTGTGCTGCCGCTAGAGGCCCAGAGCTCTGCCGGATTGAAACAGAATCCAAAACTGTAAGAGCCACAGTAGTCGTCTGCAGCCCTGTAAAGCCGTGTGTATTTATGGCGGGCGATTTCCCTCCGTCATTGGTCTCCAGAATGGAGTGGCAGTGGCTGATCCCCATGCGGCTGCAGGAAGTAGGAGCTGGTCAGGTGCCATCCGCTCCCATTAGCCTTTCAGACCCTGTGACGTGACTGTCAGCAGCTGAATGGGGGTCCGTCTGTCTCTCACAGTCAGGGGGTGTATTTAGATACTGCTGCATCTCAAATTGCACCCTATTCTCAATGTAACACATTACTTTTGTCTGGTTGAAGGTAGTGCAGTGTAGAGAGAATAAGGAGTGATTAGAGACTTGGTCGTATATCCTGACACTGCACTCTGGTTAGGCCTAGCTGACAGGGGGGGAAGTTGGGGGAAAAGGGTCCTTTAAAAAAAAAAAGGGGCCTCTTTTGAACAGGTGGTCCCCCTAGCTTACTGAGTAAAGAGTGGTTTATGCTTCCACCTATACTGTAGAGTTTTCAACTCCCGAGTATGAAAAAACATTTGTCTCTTTGTGGTGTGTTACAGGTTCCTCAATAGTTTACTTAAACAGTGTCAGACATGCAGAGGAAAGCATATGTTGGAGTGTTCAAGGAGACTTCTGGAGACTTTAGTAGATAGTTGTTTTCTGGAAACCCACCTGAGTAGAAATGGATAACCTTGAAGATGTGGAAGTGGTCACGTATGTTTCCACTCACTAAAAACATGGTTCTCAGTCTATTCCTTTAACTCTTTGCTTTTGGCCATGCTTTTTTACAGTACTTTTTTATGTTTGTATATTGCTTTTCTATTGCCTTTTGGTTAATTGCCTTTCAATATCATTTTTGTACCTGTGGATATCTCCAAGGGGCCTATTGCGCTGTACTGCAGATCACAGGTGATTTATCATGCACTCTTATCTACTGTCAATCCACCTGACTAATACATAAGGGAACATGAGAATGGGTGCGTTCATTTTAGCTTGCCCGGTGCCCTGGGTGGTCTCAAATGGGCAAACTCCGCCCTCCCGGTGCACGCTAAAACGAACATACCTTGCCTCAAAGGTGGGCCATCTGCTCTAAAATGTCTCTAGATTTTGTCACTAATCCAGTGCTCTGGCTCTTAAACCAAGAGAGGTGCCTAATCTCAATAGTTTTTCTAACGTGAAAATAGGCCGAAACAGTTTAGATGCTTCAGCACTCCCGCTATAATACAGCTGCTCTATTTCTCAACTTCATTAGATGCGCTGAGGAACATTAGCCACTAACCTAATTCTTATCCAGGAGGACAGAATAGAAAGATACTATGTAGAACAGATGTGATTCCATGGCAAGCAGAATGAGGAACCATGTTGGCTGTGTACACCACATTTCTATCTGCAACACCATACAACATTGCACCCACTTGAATATCATGCTACTGAGAGGCTGCTCTTCTCCTGGTTAGGACACTACCTACATAGACATGTCAATTCAAACATGCTGTTAAAGGAATATGAAAATAAGACAAAAGTATTTGGTTACCTAATTTTGTCTTCTGCCTTTTGTATTTTCTCAACGGGCACAATCCTGAATGCTTATAATCAGTCTAAACATTTAACTAGTTAGATTGCAGTCCTTTTAGTCTGCTCTATTCATCCAACCCATCACCCTCTGGACTAGTATTATTCTGTGGTGGACAGGTAAGTACGTTTCCCAGAGAGAATAGCAACATGTATCCTCCTAGTTCTCCACTGGTATTGAATGATTTACTTTTTCTTAAGTATATAACATCAGATATTTTGTCATTGCTTGTGCTATTTTTAAGATTCCTTTTTTTCCTGCCTCTGGTGATTTTGAAGGTATAGCTGCAATTGAAAGTGCTTCAATTGTAGGCCTACATTGATGATACATACATTGACATTGTTAGTTTTTTTGGTGGGGAGGCATTTATTGATAAAAATGTACACTTTGTATGTAAACGGAAAGTTGTGGTTAATAAACAATGAACCCATGAAAAGGTGTTATGACTACATAACTCAACACCCAGTCATATCAGTAAAGCTGCAACAATGGAACAGTTATTACAGTGCATTCGGAAAGTATTCAGACCCCTTGACTTTTTCCACATTTTGTTACGTTACAGCCTTATTCTAAAATTGATTAAATTGTTGTTTTTTTCCCCCCTCAATCTACACACAATACCCCATAATGACCAAGCAAAAACGGGTTTTAAGAAATGTTAGCAAAAAAAATTAACACATCACATTTACATAAGTAGTCAGACCCTTTACTCAGTACTTTGTTGAAGCACCTTTGGCAGCGATTACAGCCTCAAGTCTTCTTGGGTATGACACTACAAGCTTGGCACACCTGTATTTTGGGAGTTTCTCCCATTCTTCTCTGCAGATCCTCTCAAGCTCTGTCAGGTTGGATTGGGAGCGTCGCTGCACAGCTATTTTCGGGTCTCTCCAGAGATGTTTGATCGGGTTCAAGTCCGGGCTCTGGCTGGGCCACTCAAGGACATTCAGAGACATGTCATGAAGCCACTCCTGCGTTGTCTTGGCTGTGTGCTTAGGGTCGTTGTCTTGTTGGAAGGTGAACCTTTGCCCCAGTCTGAGGTCCTGAGCGCTCTGGAGCAGGTTTTAATCAAGGATCTCTCTGTACTTAGCTCCGTTCATCTTTCCCACGTTCCTGACTAGTCTCCCAGTCCCTGCCGCTGAAAAACATCCCCACAGCATGATGCTGCCACCACCATGCTTCACCATAGGGATGGTGCCAGGTTTCCTCCAGACGTGACGCTTGGCATTCAGGCTAAAGAGTTCAGTCCTGGTTTCATCAGACCAGAGAATCTTGTTTCTCATTGTCTGAGAGTCCTTTAGGTGCCTTTTGGCAAACTCCAAGCGGGCTGTCATGTACCTTTTTTACTGAGGAGTGGCTTCCATCTGGCCACTCTACTATAAAGGCCTGATTGGTGGAGTGCTGCAGAGATGGTTGTCCTTCTGGAAGGTTCTCCCATCTCCACAGAGGAACTGGAGCTCTGTCAGAGTGACCATCGGGTTCTTGGTCTCCTCCCTGACCAAGGCCCTTCTCCCCCGATTGTTCAGTTTGGCCGGGCGGCCAGCTCTAGGAAGAGTCTTGGTGGTTCCAAACATCTTCCATTTAAGAATGTTGGAGGCCACTGTGTTCTTGGGGACCTTCAATGCTGCAGACATTTTTTGGTACCCTTCCCCAGATCTGAGCCTTGACACAATCCTGTCTCGGAGCTCTAAGGACAATTCCTTTGACCTTATGGCTTGGTTTTTGCTCTGACATGCACTGTCAACTGTGGGACCTTATATAGACAGGTGTGTGCCTTTCCAAATCATGTCCAATCAATTGAATTTACCACAGGTGGACTCCAATCAAGTTGTAGAAACATCTCAAGGATGATCAATGTAATAAATTGGCAAACATTTATAACCAGTTTTCACTGTCATTATGGGGTATTGTGTGTAGATTTATTTTTTAAAAATGTAATCCATACTTTCCGAATGCACTGTAGATGCAACTTTGCTGGTTGCATCCCATTTCCCAGATCATTAATAAAAATTGAGAACAACACAGGAGCTAAAATGGAACCCTGGGGCACACCTCTTTTAATCTCAAGAAAGCTAGACTTGTGATTGTCAGCATTCTGTATACACACTGTGTTCTGTCAGATGGTTCCTAAACCAATCTACTGCCCCTTCACTGAGACCAATGTTACTGAGTCTAGCTAGCAACAATTCATGATCAAATGCCGTTGATAAATCAACAAACAGAGCAGCACAATGTTGCTTTTTATCAAGTGTATTCATGCCATTTGCCACTGCCATAGCTGCAGTTGTGGTGCTGTGCCCATATCTAAAGCCAGACTGAACCAGCTCCGTATGTAATTTTCAATTAAGACCTTTTTTAACTGTGAGTTCACTAGGGATTCATAGACTTTGGCCAGGATGGGGAGTTTGGCGATAGGACGTAGTTATTAGCATCTGAGGGATCTCCACCCTTTTAGTAGTGGGGGATAATGGTAGGTTTATTTGAACAGTGAGAGACAGAATAACAACAAAAAAATCCAGAAAAACGCATGTCAAAAATGTTATAAATTGATTTGCATTTTAATGAGGGAAATAAGTATTTGACCCCCTCTCAATCCGAAAGATTTCTGGCTCCCAGGTGTCTTTTATACAGGTAACGAGCTGAGATTAGGAGCGCACTCTTAAAGGGAGTGCTCCTAATCTCAGTTTGTTACATGTATAAAAGACACCTGTCCACAGAAGCAATCAATCAATCAGATTCCAAACTCTCCACCATGGCCAAGACCAAAGAGCTCTCCAAGGATGTCAGGGACAAGATTGTAGACCTACACAAGGCTGGAATGGCCTACAAGACCATCGCCAAGCAGCTTGGTGAGAAGGTGACAACAGTTGGTGCGATTATTCGCAAATGGAAGAAACACAAAAGAACTGTCAATCTCCCTCGGCCTGGGGCTCCATGCAAGATCTCACCTTGTGGAGTAGCAATTATCATGAGAACAGTGAGGAATCAGCCCAGAACTACACAGGAGGATCTTGTCAATGATCTCAAGGCAGCTGGGACCATAGTCACCAAGAAAACAATTGGTAACACACTACGCCGTAAAGGACTGAAATCCTGCAGCGCCCGCAAGGTCCCCCCTGCTCAAGAAAGCACATATACAGGCCCGTCTGAAGTTTGCCAATGATCATCTGAATGATTCAGAGGAGAACTGGGTGAAAGTGTTGTGGTCAGATGAGACCAAAATCGAGCTCTTTGGCATCAACTCAACTCGCCGTGCTTGGAGGAGGAGGAATGCTGCCTATGACCCCAAGAACACCATCCCCACCGTCAAACATGGAGGTGGAAACATTGTGCTTTGGGGGTGTTTTTCTGCTAAGGTGACAGGACAACTTCACTGCATCAAAGGGACGATGGACGGGGCCATGTACCGTCAAATCATGGGTGAGAACCTCCTTCCCTCAGCCAGGGCATTGAAAATGGGTCGTGGATGGGTATTCCAGCATGACAATGACCCAAAACACACGGCCAAGGCAACAAAGGAGTGGCTCAAGAAGAAGCACATTAAGGTCCTGGAGTGGCCTAGCCAGTCTCCAGACCTTAATCCCATAGAAAGTCTCTGGAGGGAGCTGAAGGTTCGAGTTGCCAAACGTCAGCCTCGAAACCTTAATGACTTGGAGAAGATCTGCAAAGAGTGGGACAAAATCCCTCCTGAGATGTGTGCAAACCTGGTGGCCAACTACAAGAAACGTCTGACCTCTGTGATTGCCAACAAGGGTTTTGCCACCAAGTACTAAGTAATGTTTTGCAGAGGGGTCAAATACTTATTTCCCTCATTAAAATGCTAATCAATTTATAACATTTTTGACATGAGTTTTTCTGGATTTATTTGTTGTTATTCTGTCTCTCACTGTTCAAATAAACCTACCATTAAAATTATAGACTGATCATGTCTTTGTCAGTGGGCAAACGTACAAAATCAGCAGGGGATCGAATACTTTTTTCCCTCACTGTAAGCTGATTACCAAATGCTGGGTATGGAATTGGTCAAGAGACTCAAGTTGAAAATGTGATCCACAGGTTCTGTAATAATACCAGCTGCTGTCTTTAAGAGGTAGGGATAAACTGAACCAGCAGATATGAAGTGCTTGTTAAAAAACCTTAAAACATCAGCTTTGTCCTTCACTTCATTAGAATCCATCATTAAATGGTCAGGAAGGCCAGAGGATACATTAAAACCTGACACTGATTTGATTAGCTTCCAGAACTTGGTAGGGTCGTTTAGATTCTCTGACTGTATTTAGATAGAAATCTGATTGGGACTTCCTGATCAATCAAGTACATTTTGTTTCTTAGCGCTCTGAAGGAGGCCCAGTCAACAGGAGCATTTGTGTGTCTAGCTTGAGCCCAAAAGACATTCCTCTTTCTAATGAATTCTGCCAAATTATCTGAAAACCAGGGATTGTCCCTTCCACAGATTCAACATTTCTTCACAGGGGCATGCTTATCACATGGACAGAAATGTATTGTAAAAATAGTCGCAGGCAGTGTCAACATCGGGAATCAGACTTACTCTGTCAATTTTATGGTACAGATCATGTGAGAACGCTTGCTCAACAAACGGTCTGAAATGTATTTAAAAATATATAACATTGGTCATTTTTGTATTTCTAACACAATCAATTGCACAGCTATCGCTGACATCATTTACAGAATATCCCAGTAGATGTGTATTTGTAAGGGGTATTCGTTAGAAGAATGTCCAACAGCGTTGATTTGTTAGGTGCTCTGGGATTCGGTCTTGTAGGCACGTTAATTAATTGCGCAAGATTCAGAGAATCAGACATTTCTTAACAATAGTTAGATACAGATGTAAGCATATCTCAGTTCAAATCTCCTAAAAGAATGAATTCAGAGTCATTGAGCTTGTGCAGGACATCAGAAAGAGAATTAAGTGCGTCTCCCGAAGCTGAGGGCGGTCTGAAGCAGTCGACTACAGGCGTGGTCAAAAGTTTTGAGAATGACACAAGTATTGGTCTTCACAAAGTCGCCGCTTCAGTGTTATGAGATATTTTTGTCAGATGTTACTATGGTATACTGAAGTATAATTACAAGCATTCCATAAGTGTCAAAGGCTTTTATTGACAATTACATTAAGTTTATGCAAAGAGTCAATATTTGCAGTGTTGACCCTTCTTTTTCAAGACCTCTGCAATCCGCCCTGGCATGCTGTCAATTAACTTCTGGGCCACATCCTGACTGATGGCAGCCCATTCTTGCATAATCAATGCTTGGAGTTTGTCAGAATTTGTGGGTTTTTGTTTGTTCACGCGCCTCTTGAGGATTGACCACAAATTCTCAATGGGATTAAGGTCTGGGGAGTTTCCTGGCCATGGACCCAAAATGTCAATGTTTTGTTTCCTGAGCCACTTAGTTATCACTTTTGCCTTATGGCA